ACTAAACCCTAGTAAACCCTAATAAACCCTAAACAAAAAAGAATAACAAACAAAATATTATTCGTCAAACAAAAAACCCTAAACCCTAAACCCTAAACCCTAATTTTTAAGGGTTTGCTGTCGGACTGGCAAGACTCTGTCACAGTCGCAGGAGGAGGAAACGCTCTCAAAACCCTAAACCCTAATTTAGGGTTTAGGGTTTATTAGACTTTTTGCCTGCGGATGGTTTTGATCGGACACTAAACCCTAAACCCTAATTTAGGGTTTAGGGTTTATTAGACGTTTTGCCTACAGAGAATTTTGACCAAACCCTAAACCCTAAACCCTAAACCCTAATTTAGGGTCTAGGGTTTAAATTATTTATTAATTTAGCAGCCCATGGTGATTGAATAATATTATTATGTGCATCCTTAACAGCAGCAGCTGCGGTGTCTATACACCGCAAAAAAGAAGAAATAGATAGATCTATTTCTTTATTTAGGTGTATATATCTATCATTTATATCTATTATACCCTCAGATATATGCCCACGAGCACAAGGTCTACAGCGGCAGCTCTCTGCTGCTCCTGCTGCTGTTCCTGCTCCTGCTGCTGCTGCTGTATCTACCTCCTGCTCCTCCTGCTGCTGCTGCTGCTGCTGCTGCTGCTGCCGTCTGACGCCTATACGGGCACGGGGGCTGTTTAATAAGCGCCGCTGCTGCTGCTGGTAGGCTAGCTGCTCATACATTGCTTGCTCCTGCAGCACGTCGCGCTGCAGCAGCAGCTGTTGCTGCTGCTGCAGCAGCAGCACAAGGACTACAAGCTGCAGCAGCAGCGGCAACAACAACAAACCATGAAACTGCGAAGGAAATATAAATCGTTTTGCTGCTGCAAAGAATTGCTGCAGTCGTCCTGCTGCTGATTCTTTTTTTGCTGCTGCAGTATCTGTTGCTGCTGCTGCTGCTGCTTCTGCTGCTGCTGCTGTGGCTGTTGCTGCTTCACTTGCTTCTTCTTCTACTGTTGCTGTTGCTGCTGCTGCAATTGCTGCTGCTGCTGCTTCCTCTGCTGCAGCAATAAAGTTTATGGCGTCAGCAGAAGCAACAGATCCTGCTGTTGTTTCTCTCTCTAATAATAGATGGCTAGCTGATCTGCTGCTTATTATGCTGCAGTTGCTGCTGTTGTTGCTGCACTTGCTGCTGCTGCTGCTGCTGCTGCTGCTGGTAATGCTGTTGGTGGTGCTGTCGTTGCTGATCTTGTTGCTGTTGCTGCTGCTCAATGCACATTGCTGCAGGAAGAAGGACTGGATCGTTGCGAGGGCTCCCCCCGCTGCTGCTGCTGCATTGTCACCACGCTCATCTGCTGCTGCTGCTGCTGTTGCTGCTGCTTCTGATGGTTGCTGTTCTCGGCTGCTGCTCCTCTGTTCCCGAGACCTCATGTGACGCCGACGCAAGAAGTAACCTCGCGGTGGACCTGCAGCAGCAGCAGCAGCAGCAACAGCAGCAGAATTGACCATCATAACAGCAGCAGAATTAACTATAGCAGCAGCAGCAACTACAGCAGCAGCACATGCAGCAGCACATGCATCAGCAACAGCTCAAAGTAGAGAACCAAGAAAACAAAAGAAGGTAAAGAAGGAAGGGATAATCAGACAGCAGCAAGAGAGGCAACTTTTACATGAATCTGCGGTGTACGTACACCTCAACACTCACTAGCAGAAACGGGGGAAGGAGGAGTCATTGTGCCGTTGTAAGAAGGAAAAAAGAAGAAATAAAATAAAGGAGAATAATATAATTAAAAAATAAAAATAGACAAAGTAAAGATTAATTGTTTTCTCCCTCTTTCTCTATACTATACAAATATACACACACGAGGCCGCCGACCCCCCTAGGTATAGATGCCTATACACCCGAAAATTAAAGGAGCGCGGCAAGAAAAAAAAGAAATAATTTAAAAATAAATTCTACAATTAAATAACAAATTTATTTTCTTACGCAGAAACTAGCTGTGTTAATCAGCTAGCTGCTGCACGAGGCAGCAGCTGCTGCGGCTGCTGCAGCAGCGGCAGCAACAGCAGCAGTGACAGCAAGAGCAGCAGACTGCCGCTTGCGGTGTCTAGTCAGCTCATCGATACAAAACCATATTTATTTAATTTTATGTTTTATTGCATGCAGATACAATATAAAAATATACTAATTAGGGAAGAAACATGTATGATCTAGTACTAACTGCAGCAGCAGCCGCTAGCAGCAAGACGTTAATACAAGAAGAGAGTATTAGGGTTTAGATCTATGGGTTAGTGATTTAAGGGTTTAGATAATAATATAAAGCCGTTATTATTTTAGGAGCAACTTTAGGGTTTAGGGTTTAGGGTTTAGGGTTTCTTAGGATGTACTAATACAAAATAGGTGGTCAAAGAAGATAAGGAGACAATGAAGGAGACAAGAGAGACACAGCACCTCTTCTTTTTCTTCTCCTTATGCTGCACTATTGTGGCATCAAGACTCTTAAGTCCTAAGCCTTATTAGGCCATAATACGTCATACTCTAGTGTGTATATACTAGATTAGAGTCTCTATTATTGTCTCTTTTTCTGTCCCTCTCTTTCTTTCCTCCCTAGTCTCTCTCCATCTCTCTTCCTCTATCTCTATCTCCTAAGCCTTCCATCGGGTAGGTCTGAGGATCCTGTATGATACCCAGTACAGTATGCCATTAATGTTGTCTTCTTCCTCCATGGATCCATACTACTGCCCACCTACCAGCAATGAATGGACAGGTACGCCTCACACCCTCTCACGAGTATAGTAGGCATGGCCTCTAATTCTCCGTTCTCGACAGTGGCAGATATGAAAGGAGAAGAAAAAAAAAGTCCTGGGGTCAACAGAGGAGTGTGTAATAATAATATAATACGGGACTTCTACGTAAGTCTTATTAATCAGGGACTAGTCCTCTGTATGATGTCATGGATGACACAATAAACAGTGTGCTTGCTGCCTCTACCTAGCAGTATGTTGATGACTGTGTGTGGGGACAGCAACAAGAGAGTGCCTATTTTAATGCATGCAGCCTCCTTTGCATGCATCGTAGTAAGAAGAGTAGAAAAGGCGTTGCAGGGCAAGGCTATCCCTGAATGGATCCACTGGGAGAGTCGTGATGGTACACACACACAATGTGTAATGAGACTCGCAGATCTGCAGAGCTCTGCTGCATATTACGTTCAATGGCCAGGAGAAATATATTTGATTAGATTTATGATAAACATTCGTGCAAAACAATTCTTCCCTGCAACTCTTCCTTAACATGTTAGCAGCAATTACATGCATGCATGCAGCTTTACTTGGGGCTACACGGCTGACAAATTTCTCCTCCTTTAAGAGCACTAATTTACCTGTGAATCAATACTCACATCCTGTTTATCTCCTCTGTCTCCGGCTCTAACAGCTGCCCTCTTAGTTATACCTTTTACCTACGGCTAGCTCGGCGGCACTGGCAACACCTTCATACTTTGTGGCTGGCTATATAAGGAAGACAGGCAGCTGCCCTAAGACTACATGTACGTCTCTTTCTGTATAGAGTTAGCAACACTCCTTCAAATAGGTTGGGTGTACACTAGAGGGACATCAATGGACACTCTGTTGATCAGGCCTGCACAGCAGCACGATGCATGCTAGCGGCAACAGCAGCAGACCAAAGCAGCATCTCCACATCTCCCTGAGTATTTTAATTACCTTCAAGCTTTCCTTCTATTTAAGTTGTTTGTATTCCTGGTCTCTCTTACGGTGTTCTTTCTCTCCTTGGGTACGCCCATTCCTTGTGCAGCAACCAGGAAAGCAATTGTATGTGCGTCTCATGGGAGAAGAAGGTGCAAATACTGCATGTTATATCTGATGTTTGTGCAGTAGTTGTTATTTACTTACCTTCTATCTATGCATGGATAAGGATGTCTCAACTACTGTGTACAGTGTCTGTGCATGCAGTAACGTAGTGTATGGTTATATTATTGTGTTGTTACTATGCAGCAACCCAGGGAAGCGCAACATAGAGTCCATCAACCTTTTATTGGCTATATCTTTTATGTCTTTTACTCCTCTACTACTCATGACTATCATCTGTCTATATAGAGGTCTACGGGTACGTTAATAGAACTGCTTGCGTGCTTAGGGTTCTTACCTTCATGCTCTGAGGTGTCTATACACCGCGTATAGCATATGACAAGGTAGTTATAATTGTCTCCTTGTGTATTCATTTAATAAATAAACAACGACGGCTAATTTAGTGTTGTTTTTCCTTAGTTTTCCCTGTTGTGTATGCACTGTGGGGACGTGGTTATATAGACTAATGCATGCATGCGTGTATATATAACTCTATTTAATTATTTAATTATTTCAAATAAATAAATACTTTTTTAAAAAAGAATTCTTTTTTATTTTGTTTTTTATTGTTTTATTTACCCCCGCATGGACAGGGGCTTGGCTGCGGGGCTGTCGCTGTGGATTTGCACATGCGAGGAGGGAGGGAAGGTAAGGGAGGCATCATCTGTTTGTTTTTCTTTGTTTATTTAATAAAAATTGAGTAAAATAAAAGAAATAACACAAAAAAAGTGCTTTATTTATACCCCGCACCTCTCACCCCTTTCTGGTGTACAGGCAGCTCCATAGGCGCTGTGTTTCTGCTTGACTCCTCTTGCTGCCTTCTTCGGGTGTATAGGCAGGTCTAATAAAGCTTACAGTATTATTAATCATTAATCTTTTCTTTTTTATCTCTTTTTCTTCTTGAGGGGCATCTGCTGCTGTTGAGGGGCCCCCTCCTCTTCTTACCTCCTTAACAGTGCCCTATTATTATATTACCATTTATTGGGGGGAGGGGGGCCTCGTAAGACGGGCACCTGAACTTGCTGCTGCTGCTGCTTTCCCCCTTTTATCTTCTTTTTTCCCCTTCTTGCATGCGTTTTATTTTATTCTTCTTTTCTCCTGCTGCTTAAGCTCAGGACTTGTGTTGCTGCTGCTGCTCCCCCCATAGAGCACAATGCTTACAACACCGGGGGCTGCAGCTGCTCCTCCCTCTGCTGCAGGGGGGGCCCCATGGGGTCCCTCTGCAGCAGCAGGGGGCCCCTTAGGTCGTGTCTATGGGTCCCGTAATGTATTATATGTACGTAATCTTTCCCCTCTTGTTACGGAGGAACATTTACGGGCAATTTTCTCTCATTGTGCGCAGCTGCTGCGTGTTGAATTTAAACCTTTACCCTCTGCAGCAGCAGCAGCAGGAGGTGCAGCAGCAGCAGCAGGACGTTATTGTGAATTAGAGTTTGCTGATAGTGCAGGCATTACTGCAGCGTCACAACTAAATGGTACAGAGCTGCTAGGTCTACCTATGCAGGTATCTGTATTAAACCCTGGGGGCCCCTCTGCTGCTGCAGGGGGCCCCGGAGGTGGGGGCCCCACAGAGAATCTTATGCGTATTGTTACCCCATTGCCGAACCCTGTTGCTGCAGCAGCAGCAGCAGCAGCACCAGTTGTGCTTCCTCCTCCTGTTCAACCTATAGGAGGTATGGCAGCAGCAGCAGCAGCAGCGGCAGCAGCAGCAGCAGCTGGTGGTGCTGCACCTCTTTTAGCAGCAGCACCTGCAGCACTTGGTCTAGCAGCAGCAAATCCAGCATTAGCTGCAGCAGCAGCAAATCCAGCATTAGCTGCAGCAGCAGCAGCAGCAGCACTACCTGCAACTGCTGCTGCACTCCTTCCTGTTACTGTTGCTCCTCCTGCCCCCGTTACTGCTGTAGAGATTGCCATGCAAAATCATCTTGCTAATCTACAGGTCAGTTGCTGCTGCTGCTGCTGAATCTACTGCTGCTGCTGCTGCTGCTGTTGCTGGAGTGTACAGTACCCCCCCCTATATGACCCATAATTCTGTATGATTTTTTGTGTTTATTCATGTGCTGCTGTTGCTGCTGTTGCTGCTGTTGCTGCTGTTGGTGCTGCAGGCAGTACAAGCTGCTGCAGCACAAGCAAAACAATTAGCAGCAAGAAAAAAGAGTGAATTAGGTATAGGTGTAGCAGTAACAGCAATAGATGGACGTCTTCCTCCTGCACAATCTCTTGTATCAGGAATTATTAATCATAATTATGAATATGATACATTAGATAAGACTTGCTTCGTACAAGGATTTCCTCAAGAGGTTAGACTTCCTGCTGCTGCTGCTGCTGCTGCTGCTGCTGCTGATGCTGATGCTGCTGATGCTGCTGCTGTTGTTGGTTCTGTTGTTTGCTGCTGTTCGTGGTTGTGAATTATTAATTATAATTATTATTATTAATTTGATACACTTGGTACAACTTGCTTCGTTCAAGGATTCCCTGCTGCTGCTGCTGCTGCTGCTGCTGCTGCTGCTGCTGCTGCTGCTGCTGCTGCTGGGGGTGGGTGGGGATCGGGGTGGGAGTGAAATTATTAATTATGAATTTGATACAATTGATGAACAAGGATTTCCACACGAGGTACTTTTTTTGCTGCTGCTGCTGCTGCAGCAGCAGCAGGAGCAGCAGGTGCTGCTCCTGCTGCTGCATGCATGCATGCATGCATGCATGAGTAAATAATATATTTTGTGTATATATGCATGCAGTATGATGAGAATGAGGTAAAAATGCTTCTTAGTGGTTTAGCAAAAGTTGCTGATCTACGATTATCTACAAACCCTAATATACCCAAGTAAATAAACCCTAAACCCTAAACCCTAAACCCTAATTACCATAAACACTAAACCCTAATTATTATATACCCTAAACCCTTGTTGTTAATATACCCTAAACCCTCGATGCAACAAAACCCTCAAACCCTGCAGACATTCTCCTAGCAAACCCTTCGTTGCTGTAGCACTTCTCCTGCAGTCCCTTGATGCATGCATGCATTGCTGTTGCTGTTGCTGCTACTGCTGCTGCTGCTGCTGCTGCTGCTGCTGCTGCAGATATGCCATAGTTGAATTTGAGACTCCGCAAGAAGCAACGGGGATGTTGGCATTAGATGGCAAAAATATCGGCACCTCTGTACTCAAGTAATTTATTTATTTATTTATTTATTTATTTAATTTATTTATTTATTTATTTATTATTTATATATTTAGTACTGATTATTTTATTTATTTATATATTTGTTTTCTTTTCCTCTCCTATTTATGGTGTTTTTTTTTTCCTGTTCTTTCTGTCTCCTTTTCCCTTTATCTATCTCGGTGTCTTTTTATCTGTTTCCTTTTCTACCTCTGTCTCTCTTTCTCCTTATTTCTTTATTTGTCTCCTTTTTTTTCTTCTTTTTTCTTCTTTTTTCTTCTTTTTTCTTTTGTCTCTTTTTTTCTGTCTCTTTTTCCCTTTATCCCTTAATATATTATCTGCCTATTTAATTAATTATTTTTTTTTTTTTTTTTTTTTTTTTTTTTTTTTTTTTTTTTTTTTTTTTTTAAAAAAAAA